CCTTCCTGAATCCTCAAAGAGGAAACCTGCTCCTCCCAAGTGCAGAAGACTGTAAGTAATAATAACAATAACAACAACAATTTCAGTCAATGAAAACAGTATTGCTACAGTGTATGGAAGCCCTGATCGCAGACAAGGGCAAATTAAATTATTAAGTTCCCTGTCATCACCTAGTGTTTGCTTAAATTTAGTGCTTAATATTGCTGGATTGGCAGCCTATTTAAATTATTCAGAACTTTGGTAATGCACTACCTCTTTAATTATGCTTTTAAATATAGCTTCCCTTTTCTGCTTGGAAGCAGTTAATCTAGTTTCATGCTTCTCCTTTTCATCTCTGGGCAAACAAGGCATCACATTAGGATTTTCTCAAACATGAAAATAATTTATTTTCAGTCAGTCAAATAAAAGGCAATGTTTGTCTACAGTTTTTGCTTCTGTATGGCTTCTATTTATTCTCTGTATCTGTCAGTGGAACTTAATGGTAAAGCTTTAGCTTACTTTTTCAAAGATTCCCTACCAATGGGTGTGAAGCTCTGACAGGCAAACATCACACAAAAAGAGAAAGACATTCTTATGCAAAATGCAATCACCTTGTGAAATTCTCTAAGATTAGAAATAAAGAAACTGTTTACCTGCAGACAGCCACAGCTGAGAGAAAGGGGAGAATCGAACAAACTCCAGTTTGATGAACTGTTCACTAAACTGCCAAGCAACAGAGGTAACTGCAGCAAGCGCTGCGCAAATACTGGAAGGGGTGGATGGAGATGGATAGTAAGTTAAAAGTAAAGAGCCACAATCTCATCTTACGCTAACTTGGTTATTGCAGCTTTAAGAGAGAGGATTGGAAAGTTTTCCACTCCATACTACTCTTGCACACCCCTTCTAAAATTAGAAACGGGCAGCTGGCTATTGCAGCTGAAAGATTGGCTCTAGCCCCACAGACTGCCTCCCCCCCCTTTCCTTGACTGATGCGGCTCCCAAGAGCCACAGAGGAATTTGGGGAAGGGTGCTTCCACCTGTTGGACATGGAATGAGGTTGTCCAGACATTCAATTATAAATCCAACTGTCAGGAGCAGACAATAAAGCAGGACACAGGACAGCTGTGAGGACTACAGGACCCCTCCCCCCCTGCCACCTTCTCCATACTTGTACAATTTTGCAGTTCAGTTTACAGCAGAAACAATCATGAAAAATTGTTCTCTGCGTGATTTGGGCTTATAAAATAAAGGGATCACTTCAGATTTCTTCTCATAGTTTTCCAGCTGTGCTACAGGGTCTTAGCACAGAATCTGTCAAGTTGTTCACATATCATTACACATCTCCAAGACCAGATTATTTTTTTCCTAAATACAGCATGCTGGTGATTGCACTGCAGATGGAGAGTATGGCTGTATTCTAGCCATCAAATACTCTTATGCCTACCTTAACATGGAGCTTATCTTGCCTTTTGCTCTCAGTTTGAGCTGAATTTAGTTCAAACCCATTTTCAAAAAAGTATGTGAAAACCGTAACCTTTTTTTTTATTTAATTTGTGAAATTGAGCAAATGCTTTTGTTGGTGTGAAAAAAATGGGGGAAAAAATTAGTCCTTTCAACGAACCTGCTTAGCGTGCTCAAAACTCCACTGCTCAGCGCAACGTGACTCAGAGCGGGGTGTGAGAGACAAGGTAACAACAGACAGGGCTGTGCATTGTTCCAGGTCCCTTTTACAACATCCACTGCTGAAGGCAACATGGGTATTGCCATCCTCCAGGTGCACGAAGGCCACAGCAGGAGTAGCAGAAGGGGGGCCCCACTCTGCCTTCTGGCCACCTGTAAGGGGGCTCTTGCCAGCTGCAGGTGTCCTTCTGCTCACAACCCAAGGGGCAGTTTGACTGCATTTTCCAGTCCAATTTTGCAGAGTGCTGGAAATTTTGTCTGCAAATTGGTGCATAGCTGGTTCTGCTCCCCCAAGATCACATCCTGCCCAAAGTTTGTATGCTGGAAGCTCACAGAACAAGAAACATCCCCTTCGCAGTCCCAAGGCCAGGCCTGGCGTCTTTGCTCTCTATAGGCACATTTTTTGCTGTCACAGACTAATTTGCTGAGCTGCTGACAGCTAAGGACAGTTCAGCTTCAGACATGAGATTTCTCTAGAAGCAGCCAATTTTACAATTTGGAAAACATCAAATGGCTGTTTGCTGCAGGCAATGAGTAATTATACAAGGAGGATAGTAATCAGCTGCTTGTGAGCAACACAGACAGACATTACTCTTCATCTCTGGCTGAGGAGGAGTTACTTAATGAGATCTACATTAAGTACCTGTGGATATTTAATGAGAGCCTTTTAAGGACAAATCCACAAACAGCTACAAAAAGCACCTACCAAGTCAAGAGCAGGAACAGTCTTCTAGTCCTGAGCCTTCCCCCTCCTCCAGAAGGGGCTACTGTATACAGCATCTTGGTTTTAATTTATTTTTCCAGACTAAGCAGTATACACCTCGCTTTCCCTCCAGTTAACAAAAGAAAAAAAAAAGCGATTCTCCTTTGTCTCGTACAACATTAAGGAGAACTTTAAGTCTTAGTTTTCGGGCACCCTCCTATTTTGTCTTGAAATGGGAACATAGCTCTTTAACACCCCATAACTGGCGGGGGGGGGGGGGCAAGGGGCAGTTTTCGAAACAGAAAATAACCTGGTTTACATACGTTTTATTTGTATAAAATCATGGAATCGCCTGCCTTCATGTCATAACTTGGTCTCTTTTTTGTGGTTGCCAATTCTGCTAAGTATAAACTTTTTTCCTAAGCTAGTTTTTAGTAAGCCTGTCCCTCCAGTCCATTCATGGTGCACTTGTTTGCAAGAGCAGAGGTCCAGGAACATAGGAGAGGAACAAGAATGAAGTCATCCCTTTTGTCAGCTGCTGACTCTTGTATTGGACTAATGAAACAAGTGAACCACATCTTATCATTAGTTCCAGCTGAAATCAGAACTGAGGAATAGTACAAGAACACCAAGTAAAAGACAGTTCACAGCTATGACAATTCCCTGAACTGTGGCCCATTAGAGAAAAGCCCTGGTATCAAATACATGCATCTGCATCCCAGTATCTATCACCCCACTCAAGTTTCCTGAAAGTTCTAAATTTTGCAAAAGGTTGTATTTTAGGCATCTGTATTTGGTCAAAGGTAAAAGGAACAATCTTAAACATGTAAAAAAACCAAAACACTTAAAACTCAATGGGCAACTCTTAAAACAGCTTATAAAACAAAGAAGTAAATTTATTTATAATTATTACTAAAATAGTTTACATAATATACAAACAGATATGCTATCAGGACATACTCGGAAATAAGTCACAGTTGTTTTTTTAAAAAACATTTGTCCAGTGAAATGTCCAAAATTTAAATGCCATCTTTTCCTTCCTGAGCTATTCTTAAACATCCAGAACAGCAGCACTTCCATATCTTTTTACTGTTTATATTTCTTCCCATTGAAATAAAAAGCACTATCCATTGCTGGCTCTCAGTGGTTCGAACAAATCCACCTCTAGTTTAAGTTGAGCACAGCCCTATCTCTCTCAAACTGTGTTCTGTGTTCTTAAGGTGATTTTGGTCCGTGCCACTAACACCCCAAACCTTTGCTTGCACAAAGAAGCCAGAAGCTCCAGCACCTCAAGAGGTCTTCCTGGTTAGGGAGGACTTCTTGCAACAGGACAGCTCAAGGGGCTTGTGAATAAAAGATGGGTCCAAGAGCCACTAATCTCTCAGCTGTTACAAGAAAACATCCTATTAATTTGAGAGCATTCTTCACATGTTCCTTCAAACTCAACGAAACCTAATGCACATGGACCAATAGTTCAAGAGCATACACTAACAGCAATGAAATGGAAGTACTGCAATTCTTTTTTTTTTACACTAAATATTTATAATAGAGACAAGCACATGTCTTTAGTCTGGTGTGAGGGATTCGCAGCAGAAGGTACTCAAAAAAATGTATTTTAAAAACATGCATTGCAAATCTGTTCTTCACTAGAAGCTTTTACAGCAAGCAGCAGATTATACACAGACACGTGAAAAAAGGTTATTTTTTTAGGATACCAAGTATGACAAATAAATACATCCTCTTGATGCAAAAATAATCATCATATTAAAATGAGAAATAACCTATGTCTTCCTAAACTTTTGCTTGGAAAGGAGATGCAACAGGTCTTTAGTACACGCATGGCTGACATTTTATCATTTCGCCCCAAATTTAAGACTTGCAGAACTTTGACAAAGAAGAGAATTCCTGGAAGCAGCAAGGCAAAGAGGTGCCGAGGGATTATTTAACTGACATCAGTACTAGTAATGTCAAGCAATCCTCCATACCTCAGCTTTTCTCACTTTCCAGAACTGTTTGGGGCAGGCTCATTCAAGGAAGAAATGCTTGCTGAAAGGTTTTCTGTAAGTCACAAATCTTTAAAGCAATTTTGCCATTTCTAGAAGTCAACAGAGACAGCCAAAAATCTATGTTGTGATCATATGGATCAATAAAAATCTTGTGCTTAGACTCATATCACTTCATCCTCATTTTCAGTTTGTTTTTTCTTATGTTAGAAGAAAAGTAAGCAATTCTGGCAGATGAAGGTGATGTATTGCATCCTATTACCTTGTCAAACACAATACCAGCTTTATGCACCACCAGAAAAGAATCCTCATAGCAAAGCCACAAGTGCACCAAAGGCAGCTTCAGAAGTGGTTCTGCACTGGACACTTACTTCCAGCCCCAGACACCAAGCCTGAATAAATCACTCAACACAACTTACCAACAACCAGCAAGTTCCTTGCTTACATTCTGCACTTGATTTAGAGAAGTCCCAGGTACTTTAGCAGGAACAACCCCTCCAGTTGGTGGTATTTCTTTGCACTTAAAGGACCATATGCTGCCTGAGCTCAGCAGCCGCGCTAAGTTCTTCCCTGTTCAGACATTGCAACATACATTTTCTGTCTTCCTCCTTTCCCGAGTCCCCTCCAATAACTTTTTATGTGCATCCCTCCACAGGGAGGCCCTTTTCAGGCCAAACAGGCAACACAAGATGAGAGATACGGCTCCACAGTCCACTCAGCTTATCTGTGTCCATGCTATTGTAAGAACTAGGAACACCGGAACTGGTAAACTTCTCCCAGAGGAAATCCCGGACTTTCTCCTCAACTTCTTTCAAGGTGAGGCTCTTTCTCAGCGACTGCTCATCCAGGAGAACTGTCAGCACAAGAGCCACATCTTTAAATGCTGCATTTTCATGGTCACAGTACTTGTAAAAGATTAAGGTGGAGCCTGCAGGCAGTGACTCAAATCGATGCACCACTGCCACCTTCTTGCCTTCTCTGAACCCAGAGCTGAGCTCACTATCTACCTCCAGCTTCACAACGTCACTATCCAATATGGCTTTGTCTGCCCCATTAATTTGGATTGTAGTAGCATTCTGGGAGAAGGCAAAAGCATTGGCTATCTCATTACTTAGGCATCTCAGTGCTTTCTCAGCTTCTTGGCCAGCTGTGAGCAGTAAGATGGCTGGCTCCAAATGCAGATGGGAAGCATTAAGGTGTTTCTCAAGGACCACATGTGTTCTTTGCCACAGATTGGGATCCTGACTTTGGTAAGTGTTTTTTAGTTTCTTCATCTGGGCCCGAAATGCTTGCAGAATTTGAGTATCTCTACTTGATAAAGTTGTATTGAGAAGACTTGGAATTCCACTCCACAGGACATAAAGCAATGGGACAATAATTAACAGAACCACCAGTAACAAAGTCCAGCTCTTGTGAAATCCACTCTGCGATTCACCATCATCTAAAGAAAGGAGGAGCAAAGAAGAAAACAATATTTTAAAAGGAATCAACAAGTGAGAGGAAAAGAAGAGGACACAGTAGAATTCAATGAACTCATCCCACTCTCAAGCTACTGGTACAGTAGTTGAAGAACATAAAGAAGATGTTCTAGTTAAAAAAAAAAAACAAACTTCAAAATTCTTTAGCAACTTAGTGAAGTGACATTAAAAAAGGGCATTTTTACACATTTCCAGAGTGACTAAGAAATTGCACATTCTTCTGAAAAAGGAGCACTTCTGAAAGTTTATCAATACTCTATTTAATCAAATTCAAACTAAGAGCTTAAAACAGTTTTTACAAAGGTTAAGCTTTTTCCTACATTTAGGATCTCCAAGAAAAAGAAAAAAAGCCTTATATAAAACCTGGCATCACCAGAATGGTTTCTGTGGTGTTATTTCTCCTCCCTACCCCCATAAGGATAAAAATAGTTTCTGTAGCAGTATTTGCATCTCAAACACTGGTGATTAACACTATCAGAAAATGTTTGTGGTCTTTGGATTAGTCAGCTTAAAGTACACACAGCAAACTGCACAGGAAGCATACAGAATATCAGATATTTCGATTTGGTTTTGTATTTGAACAGTTAAATTAATGCTTATTTGAGCCTACTACAAGCATAAGGCTCGATTCTGTTCCCAGTAAAACTATCCTAACCCAAAAAATCCTAGCTTTTATCAGGACAGCCACACAACAACCGCTAAATGAGAACACCACTAGGCCTGCCTCAGTTTTAATCTTGCAGCAAATCTTGTAAACACTACCGATGGAAGATCTTAAATTCAGGTGGAAATGTTACCTACTATACAACACTCTTCCTTCATGCTGAAAACACATGCCCTAGCAAGGAAGTAATCTGTTCTGGCAAGGACTCTCATTTTAATACCAGCTGCCAGGAAATGTAACACTTGGACAGGCATGAAAATGGTTAAATGTAACACACACATGAAACAGAAGTGAAAGCAGAAGTCTTACTTTTGGCCAAAGGCTGTGGCTGCTTCCCTATGCTGGGCTGATCTCGAAATTTACTTCTGCCTGTTAAGAGATGAAGAAAGGAACATGAGAAAAATACTAAGACAACAATTATACCCAGTCTTCTAGCGGGAAATTTGGCAGGGGGTTGAAATCGCCAAACGGCAGTATTTCCACTGAAAAGGTGTTCTTAGTTATGCTTTTACATACAAACTTCTAGAAAGTGTCCAGGAAGGTTAACAAAGCACCCTTGCGTAACATCTTGTTGAAATGAACGCAGTCCTGGTAAGTAAGAGCAAAGGCAAGGCTGTGACCTCATCCCGGGTAGGGCTGGATCCAGTACGGGGCTTTCTGTTCTTTTCTGCATCATTTGCTTTCCTGTGCTCGGGAAAGGATAGTCTCGAACAAGGAAAATGTCGCAATCACTGCTATTACTAGCCTCAGAGGTCCCATTCAACTGGCAGACCAATTCTCCATCTACACTTTTTGCCAAATGTCAGCTCTTAAGCCATCCTGGCAATCTTTTATAAAAAGCACAAGTCCCCAACCCATCACAAATCACCCCCAAAGATTTTTAACTTTTGGAAAGCTGTGCAAATAAAACCAGAGGCATTTCAAGTACAAGATGATAAAACAGCAGAGATTTAACCACCTGTTATTTTCTGCACAGGGATCCCATGTCCTGATTAAGATCCCTAATTTTGCTCAAGAATTTGAGGGACAGAAAAATGGAAGCTCAGTTAACACAAATATTAGAAAAACAACATAATACAAGATACAAGTAGCAAAAGCAAAGCGCTGTGTTAAAGGCATAGTCTCATATCCTCACTCCATCTCGCTTGGGTCAGAGGCTTGCTTCATCAGCAGTCAGTTTCCTGGGAAGAACTGTGCTTTTAAAGCAAAATGCAAGCCTTCAAAATATACTTTTGGTCTATTTATTTAAATGGGCTCAAAGTACAGGAGACACTACCCATAAAAGAAGGTTATGAACAACTTTCCCTAGAGACCAGTATGAATATATACAGTGCAATTATTGGTCAGTATGTTTTCTGCATTTAGTCAGTTAATTAAAAAGACACGTGAATTTCTGGCTCCTTGTGAACAACAGGAACTGGTTCAAAGCTGAAGGCTCTTTAATAATATATAACAAAATCAGGATACTGTCAATGGCACTATTGAGAATAAATTGAACAAACAGACCCTGCAGTAGTTATTTCAAGAACACTAAAATAAATTCTATAACCTTGTTTTTGTATGAATGTAATTGCAGAAGGTGCTAAAAGCAGCTCTGGTTTAAGCCAGAGCTTAACTGGCTTAATGAGCTACTCTATTCTGTAATTTCAACCCACCGCCCTGATGGGGCACAGACACTGAGCTTGTAACTGGCTAAGCTTATATAAGTCTTCTAATAGTTAACAGATCAAAATCACTTCAATTCTGTAATATTTTACAATGTAGCTCTGTTTGCAGAGTCTAGATTTCATATGTAGGAGATGGCTGTGATTCATACCCTAAAGGAAAAAAATATTTCAGTAAACAGTCTAAAAACAGATCCTATCCTACCTAAGAATCTTGCCTTATTTACAACACAATTTGCATGAAGGCCAAGCAAATTATTTGTCTTGCCTAATTCAAAAGGTGTAACTTCTGCAGACACCTTAGAGCTTTCAGAGTTTCAAGTGGTTTTCCCAAGTTCACCCAGCACACAACTGGTCACTCCTGCAGCACCTATTACCTCTGGCACAGGAAAGAAAAAAGTACCAGACTAGCAAGAACTCCCAGCATCAATTCATTTCAATTCATCAATTCAAATCAATTCATCAAAGGCATTTCACAGATGTGCAGCTACCACAAGACAAGCTTCTCTTCCGGAAAGCACAGTGGTTTTAAAAAAAAAACCCAACTCTGAACAACCCCCTCAGGTCCTCCAGGTTGAATTCTGATTTACAAGACTTTGTTTATCTATACCTGTTCAGGAGAGAAACAAGCACTGAAACATTAAGAACAGAAGGCTATGAAGAATTCAGAACATTTTTTTTTGTCTCTTCTTTCAAGTACTCTTCAAAGACAGAAAAAGCCCCCAAACAACAAATCCACAAAAACAACCAAAGATAAAAATCTGAAACACAAGGAATTGGTCACTGGATGAACAGACTGGAGTTTGCCAGCAAATTAAAATGCTCCTCTCCAGGAGCATATGACAAATTCAATCATTTTGAATGCCTTCAATCAAGGCCACCACTACACTGGGAAAGGCTAGAAGGGAAGGTGACGTGTACAAACTCAAACACTCACTGCTACCAAAAGATCAAGGTTTTGTTCCCTTCCTCAGCTCACCCCCACAATGCTACTAGTATTTAACTGATCTGCATTTAACTGATTGCCGCATGAGTCCACCACTACACTGGGAAAGGCTAGAAGGGAAGGTGACGTGTACAAACTCAAACACTCACTGCTACCAAAAGATCAAGGTTTTGTTCCCTTCCTCAGCTCACCCCGACAATGCTACTTGTACATGCTCTGCATTTAACTGATTGCTGCATGAGTCAACTCCATTTCCTAATCCAGCCAAAAAAAAAGAAACAAAAAAAAAGAAAATAAAAAAGTGGGTCATGTTCTGTGGTCAGCAAGTCGAATAACCGCACAGAAGGGCTCCGTCTCTGGAATATACTGGCTTCTCCAGCTTCCAGGATCTGCCTCCTGGGTCCCTTTCCGCCTTCCCAGACAGAGTGCCCCAGGGCACAAGAAAACCCATAAGCAGTGGAAAGGAAAAGAATTCTGTACTTTTCATTTAATTACAGGGAAAGATCAAGTATCTATTTTTGTTACTTACTCTGTGATGTAGTTGAAAGGTGCTCTTGATTTTTCTCAAGGAAATCAGCCCTTCTTTCTGAAACCAAAGCACAAATGAAAGAACTTGGTTATCATATCAGAGGTCAGAATAAGACAGACAAGCCATACATGCTTTTAGCTCTTTCTTCAAAGGTAATTAGAGAAGGAGTATACGCTGTGCTGACAAACCAAGCCTGCACCAAATGGCAGGTTTTTGGACCCCTCTGTAGATGGAAAAAGCTACCATTATCTAATAGAGAGCGCTTAACTCAGCCCTTCACTCTGCTTTTCCCAATATGACACAAAGTTATCCTTCCTATTTTCTCTCCAAAAATGCAATAATGGTAAAATGCAAAGGATGTGAAATTAGCAGCCTTAATTGACTGCTAACAGAGGGCACCAGATTCGTCACTTCTGAA